TTTTGGGCTCAATTGTGGTCGTAAGTCGAGGACTACCTTTTATACACTCAGTTTAAGGAAGACTGCTGGTCCCATGTCATAAACATATCCATCAATCTTCCAGAAGATTACTGGGTGTGTGTCAAAAAATAAATAAATGCCCTCCTACCTTCATGGATCAAGCACTAGCATGCCTGCTCTGCTGGGCCTGGATGGGCAACGTTACTGTGGGAGACTCCTGCCCTCTTTTTCTTCTCATGATGGTGATCCCACAGATCGGAGAACAAATGTTAAAGAGCCCAGCGTCACTTCCCTTGCCATTCCTACAAAACACCAGTTTGGGATTTGGTGCCACGTCTGGCAGGAGAAGCGGGAGAGATGGGTCTCTGCCAGAGAGGGGGAGGATGACTGTCTTGTTGCGAAATGAAGAATGCCCCTGGAGAAATAGCACCTAGAAACCAGAACAGGGCTGGATTTACTCATCAATGTGTAACCACCAAAGCAAGCAGAGCTGTCTCCATCCCACGCTGTGCCCTGAGTTCTGACTGAAGGCAGTCCAAGTGAGCCACCTCCAGGATTATCCAAACTACTCTGTAACTGAAGCTCCATCATCTTCCCAACAAACTTCATCAAAAAGGGGACATTATCAGCCAGGTACTATTTCTATCATTTTTGTTCACATATGCTACTTGGATGCCTTCTAGAACAGGGGTCCCCAACCTTGGCAACTTTAAGACCAGAATTCTCCAGTCACCTTTCTCCTCCTAACAATCCTGTGAGATGGGTTGTACTGACTGAACTCACAGTCTCCCATTTCTAGTCAGGTGTCTTAACCACCAGACCAAATTATGCTAGTTTGAACCATTCTGGCAAATATTTTAAACTTAAAACACAGCTCTTGTTCCTTTTTTTGCTCGCCTGTAGTGTTAGAATTTCACATCCAAAAAGTTTAACCCACCGTGGATGTAATCAATTGGTATAATATCCTTCTGATTATGATCTAGGTCAGTGATGGCAAACCTTTTAGAGACCGAGTGCCCAAAACCCACCCCTGCCTGCCCTGCCCTGCCCTCACCCCCTGTCCCTGCCCCCGCCTGCCCGCAGGGCCACCCACTGCCTCCACAGCCCGCCGCAGCACCATGGCGGCCACGCCCTCCGCCCACGCCCCACATCATCTGCATGCGATGGGGAGCGAGGGTGGAGACTTGTCCCCACTGCCTGGCTGCCATGTCCTTGGCTGCGCTACTCTGCGTGGACTGTGCCTGGGGCAACTCTCCTCTGGGGGGCTGCTGGTGAGGAGGGAGCCGTGGGTGGAGGCGGGGCTGGGGGGACAGCAGGTGTGCCCACAGAGAGGGCTCTGAGTGCCACCTCTGGCATGCATGCCATAAGTTCACCACCACTGATCTAGGTACATAAATTTTCAGAAGTAAAATTCAACCATCAATTGATAACTCTAATCCTAACCTTAACCCACCGGACAACTGAAATAAAAGGATGTAATTGATTGGTGCATAAAAGTCACTAGCAGGCAAAAATGTTTTGTGGGGCAAACAGAGAAAAGAGCTTGAAACTCTTTTCATAACAACCCATGCATTTTCATTGTTCTCTTGTATTCTTACTACTGCCTATTTAGTGACTTTTAAAAATAGTAATACTCTTCACAAAAATGAAGGGTAAACCAGTTCTTTATTTTGCACAATGATTTCAGTAGGAATTCCATAGAAAGCACGATCCTAAATGGCAATCCTAACCATCTAGTTTTGGAAATGTATCTACTGAATAGTTCTCAGTTCATCTTCCCTTGCCATTCCTACAAAACATCAAAGGCATCACCTCTCCTAATTCCCAGCCAGTGGTGCAAGTGGGGGAGGCTGTATTTAGATAAAAGCACTACCATGTATGGTTCCTTTGCTGTCAGAAAATTAACTCCCTTTTTAAAAAAATAACGTGGGATACCCTTGGAAACAACTATAATGAAATCAGAGTTGTTAATCATCAGTTACATTGGCATGAGGCCATTATGTGATGGCTAGCCAGGAGGCCTCTTTTTATTATTCCTTTTAATGTATAGACAGTTTGAGAAAGATTCAGGTTTAGCGTCGTGCGGTAAAGAACTTCAGTCTCCTGAGAACTGGAAAGGAATTAGACTCGGCTAAATGTGAAAAAATTTACTAGTGCCTGGTTAAACGCTTTACAGCTGAATTAATGAGTAACCCGCACTTTAATGAGCAAGTTGGTGCTCTCCTACTGTGTTACAGTTTTTCTTTGGCTAATATAAAGGCCTCCACACTGTTTTTTAACATACGGTAGCTACAGCGTGAACATGCCAGTGGCTTTAGGGCATTTCCTTCTTATACTTGGAACAGTCTACCTGCAAAAAACAAGCTGTCCATCAATGGCTCTCCAACAAGGTATGATTCCAATTGCCTCTTTATTGCTAATCATTGTAAAAATTTACTTGGGCCAAGTAAATATTATGTTTACTTATTTCAGTGACTTCATTTATCAGCTACTCTTTCTTATTTCTGCTGTAGCCAAGAGTAGGAAAAAGGTAGACTTACACAACTGTTCACAAAGTCAGGCTTTTTTTTTTAATTAGCCCTGTTAGCTCTGCATACAGAACAAGCTGGCCAATTGGTATCAAAACTGCGATTGGGCTGAGATTCTGCCCTTCAACCCATATGGGAATTCTTGGGGCATTCCCACTAACTACGGAAGTTCACTGCATGATTTTGGGCTATGTGCTCTTCTCAGCTCATCCTTTGCCAAAGGGTGGTTGTTGTGGAAAAACAAAAAAGGATAAAGGAATGCAATGTAAGCTATCTTTTGCCTCTGGAAGAAAGGCAGAATATACATCTAGCAAATAAAAGAATAGGCTATAGACCTTATATGATGAGCGGCAGTGACACATCACCTTAAAAATAACTTTGGGGTATGGGTTTTTGTAGATGAGATCATATTTCATTATGATTCTGGGAGTAGATTCTAAAGGGACTATTATATGAAAATATTAATTTTACATGCAAAGATGCAAAAGGTTACCTTCAGTTGTGTCTGTATGGAAAGCTCTGTGGTTCTATCAGAGGATTTGGTACATGGAAAACAGAGGAAAGCAGTTTGGTTGATTTCTTTTCCTTCAAAATCTGTTCAGAGCCTTGGAAGACACCGGACAATTTCAAATTACTTTCCTTCCCTTTTCATTCATAAATTCCTCTTTTGGAACAAAGACATTCCATAATTAAGTGGATATAACTGGACAGAAATTTACATCCTGTTATTTTGCATTTCGAATTACTCATGGAACAGTTTATTCTGAAGATTCAGGGAGACACCAAAACCATACAGTGAACTGATAGCTAAATACTCAATTAATATAAAATAAAATGTGTAATTATTTCCAGTTTTACCTTTAGTAGGCTTATCCACAGGGTGATATTTCCCTGCTATATAGTCTGAGGTTATACCATCTTGAACCGAATGTTAAATTTGTTAATAAATGTAAATATGCCCATGTGGATAATAAAGACTTGACATTCAATATGATAAGTCTGATCTTTGTGATTGTTTTGAATTTGGAATGCATAAATTTAGTCTAACTGAATTTCAAATTAAGCCATTTGTATTTAGAACTGAGCACAAATAGATACTACTGCATTGTTTTTAATAGCATAGATTGATCTACAGAATTCTACAGAATGAAGAAAATTCTGTTGTATATCTGACTCTTATCCTTTGCATTAAGAATAATACAATTAAAAATACACTGTAGTATTAAATAATATTTAGATAATTTCAACTATTGGGTGACAATTTAAATTTGGACATGATCAGTAAATAAAGTAGAAGAATAGTGCACAAGAGTTACTGTTTTCTACATTGCCTCTTTTCTATGCTTTTCAGATTCAAGATGTGGGCAGAAAGTCTATGGAAGTGATTCATGGGGGTTTTATAGCCACTTTGCTCGGATTGTTGGTGGAAGCCAAGTACAACAAGGATCACATCCATGGCAGGTCAGTGTATTTCCTCCAGCTCTTATCACACTAATAAAGAAAATTAAGTTACCGCGTATCTTTGATTTTTTTTGTATGTATAGATGCTTTTTCTGAACAGCATATTACTCTTTGCAAGACCAATGGAGCAAACAGTGAACAATGGTCATGGTCTCCAATGGAACATTGTCATTAATTCTGTTGTCTGTATTGTGAGAAACTGAGATAGGCATACTCATTTGGAAAATAATTTTAATCTCAAACCTCATAGGTAACACCAAACAAGAGAACAATCCATTTGCTTCCCCCTCCACGATTTTTACTGGCCATCTGTGGTTATTTAAAGAAAAGACATTGTTCAGATATAATAAAAACAATATTAGAAGATTTGGGGTGGGAGTGTTAAAATAAATGTATAATTACTTTTCTTTCAGTTACCATCATTTTCCTCCGCCGGTAACGTACTTTGTCACTTCTAAGCTTCTGGCAACACCAAACAATGTAATATACTACATCTGTTTTGGTTGGCAGGTTCAGGCATTTTCATATGCACACGGACAAATGATATGCTCTACTATAATCTGCCCCTTTGGATTTTTCCTCCCAAGTGCTGCTACTGCAACTATTGACATTCACTATAAAGTTGAGGAAGGGAATATGAAAAAAAGATATATTAAATCGTTATAACAATATTAATTCCATATGCAGAAAACCATTTAGATATTGACAGTATTAGGCTAATTTTGACAATATCTGAATATTCGTGATTCTGTGAATGTTACCAATTAAAGGGTGAAAGAGGGCTATTAGCATTCACTTCTGCTTCATATTAAGAACAGAACAGAATAACTGAGTTGGAAGGGACCTTGGAGGTCTTCTAGTCCAACCGCCTGCTTAAGCAGGAGACCCTATACCATTTCAGAGAAGTGGCTGTCCAGTCCCTTCTTAAAAGCTCCAGTGATGGAGCACCCACAACTTCTGAAGGCAAACCTTCCCCACTGACTAATTGTTCTCACTGATAGGAAATTTTTCCTTAGTTCTAGGTTGCTTCTTTCTTTGATTAATTTCCATCCTTCATTAGTTTCCACGAATTGTATAAAGCAGGGATTATGTTCATGTATTTATGACATTAATCTGGCATTGTTGATTTTTATTACATATTCCCTGTACCCCACTGTGTATTTTGCCTTCTGTTGCTCTGTTATGAGATGTACATTTCCTAAAGTGGTATGTGCTCTCTGTGATACAGGTTTCCTTGAAAAGAAGTAATCACCATTTCTGTGGAGGAACCCTTGTTTCCACTCAGTGGGTAATCACAGCAGCTCACTGTGTTGTAAGCAGGTACAAGCAGGCAATTCACTGGAAGGGCTATGATTTCAGATTACCATTGTGTTTTATAAATCATTTTCATAGACTTTTGATATGCTTTCTCTAGAAATGTAGTTTAATAAATGACCAGAGACATCAAATATTTAAGCATATTTGTCCAGGTGATTTCACAATGTAATAGGCAACACACACACACACACACACACACATCCTAGTGTACAGGAAGATTCTAGCAGGTGCTGGGGGTATTTTATGGTTTTTAATGAGTTAAGACAGTGCTACAGAACTGTGCTTCAGTTTTATGATAATGTCAGGTGGTTATTACTTTGTGTATTATATTTAATGAATCTCAATATATTTAATTGTAAGTCACACAGAGTTGTTTTGCAGAGTGAGATATGTAGCATATAAATTTAATAAATAAATATTACTGTATTTTACTGTGGGTTTTTTTTCTTGTGCACTACCGAAAGTCAGATTTTAGCCACAGGATGGATGGACGGACAGACAGACAGACAGACAGACAGACTCTCTGTCTAAAATAGTTATTTAGTTCTGAAAAATCCACGTTCAGTTTTTCCTAGTTATATCTCTCCACTGTTCTGTAGATCACTGCTCCGTTTGCTGACTGTCACTGCTGGAGAACATGATTTGAGTCTGAAAGATGAGGAAGAGCAGACCCTCTATGTAAAAGACATAATTAAGCATCCCAACTTTAATAGGAAGAAACCAATGGATTTTGATATTGCTCTTCTAAAAATGGATGGTCATTTCAAATATGGTAATATGCTAGCTTAAGATGGTACAAATCCACATATATGTGCATGTGCATGTATACATATCTGAGCCATCATATTAAAAATGTGGTACTCAAAGGAAAACAATTTAGTGTACAATCTAATACTTCTCTGTATAGAAAGTCTAGGCATATGGTAGGTTGTGCCATCAATCGGTGCTTTTACATAGCTTGATGCCCAAGAAGTCTCATAACTAAGTTCCACCAGCATAGTATGTACATTCTTTTTCTTACTCTGCCTTTACCACCCACAGTGCAGGTATGACTAGAGCACTATGTTAATTGCTTTCTGGACAAGGAAACATGTGGGTGATTTAGAGGCAAAAGATTAAGTGTAGGTAATGAGAACACGCATCCTGAGGGCAAAGTAAGACTCTAGTTATACATCCGAAGACTTGTGCCTGGCTTGTTTATCATGAGATGATCATACAAAACCAGGTACTTTTACACAACTCCAACTGTGGATGGAAAGAAGACAACAAATTTAAAACTTTGGGTGTGACAGGTGGGAAACATAGAGACGTTTAATATTGGATTTTATTTTGATGCCCACTTTGGAACAGAATCGTATTTCCATTTCATAGTGTTAAATTAGATTTTATATTTTTGTAAATTATGCTTTAACTTTTGTAGAAATCACTTTCTATATTGGGCCTCTTGATACCTGTCAAGGTGTATGAAATTGTCATTGAGACATGAGCCGTATTAACATTCTTTTAAATGTGTAATCAGAACTTTGATCTGTTTCAATGTTAGGTGCAGCAGTATGGCCAGTCTGTCTTCCTGGCCCACGTGAAAAATTTGATCCAGGATATATATGTGTCACTTGTGGTTGGGGTCGTTTAAGAGAAAGTAAGGAAATGATATGATATTTGAAAGTGTTTCATGCTTCAAAAGGAATTATTATTAAATGTACATTTATGCATGTATGCTATCAACTCTCTCTCTCTCTCTCTCTCTCTCTCTCTCTCTCTCTCTCTCTCTCTCTCTCTCTCTCTCTCTCCCTCCCTCCCTCCCTCCCTCCCTCCCTCCCTCCTCCCCTCCATAGGAAGTCAAGGTGGGAGGCAAAGAATGAAAATGAATAATACTGAAATGAAAGTGGGGAGGAAATGACAATAAATGCAGTTAAGAGGTTTTGGGAAAGTGTGTGTTTTCTCTCTATGCTCAATTTATTTTCTGTCCCCAAATAAATTCAGCTTTGGTTCTAGTGCATATTACTAAGGCTAAATTTCCATGAATATAAGCAAATATATTGTGGTAAAGAGATATTCAGAGGCATCTGCTTATTACTCTGCTGCTTAATTTATGAAAATGATGGCATAATAGTGTGGATCCCTGGATGTTCATTGATGTCATATATTTCAACATTCAGTTCTGTTTCATCTAGGGCTGGAAATCCAGCCTTCAATGGTGATCACATTTAACAAATAATTGGAAAAGTGTTGGCTCCACATTGTAGTTTTTCATCATTTCAACTCAGGATGTTTGAATGTTTTGTGGCACAATACACATAAGTACACTCAGGGATAGTGATCCAGTTCCTGGAAGCTCCAGTTTAAAAAAGGATCAGGCAGTAAAGAAAGATTTTTGCCTGAGATCCTTGACCCCTGTTTCCAGCTAGAAAATGGAACAGAACAGAATAGAATAGAATAGAATAGAATAGAATAGAATAGAACTGGAAGGGACCTTGGAGGTCTTCTAGTCCAGCCCCCTGCTCAAGCAGGAGAACCTATACCATCTCATACAGGTGAATGATTCTGAGCCTGATGGATGGACAATGTAACAGAGCAACTTCCTGAGTTTTGTTTGATTTTCAGATGGGATCCTTCCTGACATTTTGCATGAAGTCAGATTGCCCATCTTAGACCAGACTCAGTGTTCTGGAATCTTGTCAGCTCTAAGGAGGCCTATTCGAAGCCACACTATAATGTGTGCTGGATTTCCAGATGGAGGAAAAGATGCTTGCCAGGTTGGTAGATTATACCAATATATTTATTAAGGAGAATACGGTGGTGGTGGTGGTGGTGGTGGTGGTGGTGATGGTGATGATGATGATGATGTTGATGATGATACACAATAGTGCAGTAAAATATTATAATAGTTTTAGGTCATTTTTTGTGATGTTTATAAAAATTCCAAAGAGAACTTTTAGGAGGAAAAGCTGTGGCTCAGTAACAAAAGATTTCAGGTTAATTCCCAGATGGAAATCCAGAACAAGGCTCTTTGAGTAGTCATTGAGAGCTCTTGTTTCTGAATATGTAGAATCAGCCCTGAACTAGAAAAATCAGATACCTGGCTTGGCAGAATGTAGCTTTTATTAGGGCATTAAAAATTTGGTAAGAAATGTGAATAAAAATGATCTTTTTTAGTCTTTGCAAGCGGATAACGTTTTAGTCTGTTGTAGTAGAAATGATAATGAAGCTTCAACGGCTCAGTTATTTTCAGTTTCATAGGGTGATAATTTCTTGATTGTAGCTATTGTAGCCAGTCATTTTCTGCCTTCTGGGAACAGTGAGAACTACTGAGTAATACTTGTACATCTGCTATGAAAGCCCAAAACAAGATAAAATATTTGGGGAAGTAATTTAAGACGCTCCACTTTTATTCAGAGATCATCATTTATACTCATAATAGTAAGCTTGCCAGCCTATTTAAGACAATAACATTATAGCGGATCTAGAATTTATAGGGTGAAGAGTGTCCAAAACAAATGTAAATTACAGATTCAAACTACTGAAACTCAGATTTCCATAGACCAGTGGTGGTGAACCTATGGCACGCGTGCCAGAGGCGGCACTCGGAGCCCTCTCTGTGGGCACATGTGCTGTTGGCCCAGCCTTGCCTCCCCCTGCAACCAGCTCCTCACCAGCAGTCTCCCTGGAGGAGAGTCACCCCCGAGCCTGGCCCACACAGAGCTGCACAGCCAAGGACATGGCAGCCAGCAGCGTAGACAAGACTCTGTACGCCCCATTGTGTACAGTTGATGCTGTGGGGTGCAGGCAGAGGGCGTGGCCACCATGGCGCTGCTGGGCTGCCTGGGTGATCTGCGATGGGCC